GGGGAGGGGCTGAGAGCAGAACAACATATTCCAAGAAAAGGTAGTAACAATCACCAGGCACATTTATTGCTCCAAAATTCACAGAATAATTAACACATTTCTCACCACATTTAAAACCGCCTTTAGGGTTTTTATTCTGCATGATTATCTAAAATTTTTATCGTCAAGTCAATTTTTTAAAAAGGGCTTACAGCATAAAAATTTGCTAAACAGTAGGGGGAGCAAGTGGCCAAGGGATGTGGGAGGGGAGATAGAAGGAGGGCTCCCAATCCGGTTTTATCTGGTTCTCCCACTGACCCTAAAGCGGGTCCGAGCAGGTTGGTACGTATATTAAGAATTGTGTACAAATTGAAATGTCTGTGTATTGCCGAAACCGGTTTGGCTCAATGGATAGAGCGTCGGCCTGCGGACTGAAAGGTCCCAGGTTCGATTCTGGTCAAGGGCACGTACCTTGGTTGCGGGCACATCCCCGGTGGGGGGGGTGCAGGAGGCAGCTGGTTGATGTATCTTTCTCATCGACGTTTCTAACTCTCTATCCCTCTCAATTCCTCTCTGTGTAAAAATCAATAAAATAGATATATTTTTAAAAAATGTCTGTGTATTGATCCTCAAAACAATAAAACCTCAATTATGAAAGAAAAATACATTTGTTAAACAGTCAATAAAATTAATATAAACATTTCCATTTTCATAATTAAATATCCAAAGAAGATACTTAAAATTAATGTCCAGAATAAAGACATGCTAGAAATAAAGCTATTAGGGGAGATATTTGAACTATGAATTCTTTGCACTTTTACTTCAATCATCTATAATTGAATTAGAACTAAATAATTTCAAAATCCCTCTCTAACTTTAAATTCTTTGATTAAAAAAAGTTGAGCCCAGCTGGTGTTGCTCAGTGGTTGAGCATCAATCCATGAACCAAGAGGTCCTCATTCAATTCCTGGTCAGGCACATGCTCTGATTTTAGGCTCAATCCCCTTTAGGGGGTGTGCAGGAGGCAGCTGATCAGTGTTTCTCTCTCATTGATGTTTCTCTCTCTCTATCCCTTTAAAAACTTCAAAGATGTGAAGAAATTGGAACCCTTATACACTGCTGGTGGGAATGCAGAAATGGTCCAGTCACTTTGGAAAACAGTTCCTCAACAAGTTAAACAGTTACCATATGATCCAGCAATTCCACTTGTAGGTCTGTGCCCAAGAGAATTGAAAACATGTGTCCACACAAAAACTTGAACACAAAAACTTGCTGCATTATTCACAATAGACAAAAAGTGGAAGCAACCCAAATGACAACTGAGGAAGAGGTAGAAAATGTGGTATAGTCATACAATGGACTATAATATTATCCTATACTAGAGGTCCAGTGCACGAAATCTGTGCACTTGGGAGGGGGGTCCCTCAGCCTGGCCTGTGCCCTCTCACAGTTCAGGAGCCCTGGGGGGATGTCTGACTGACGACTTAGGCCCACTAAGCTATAAGGCCCACATCCTTAGCATTGCCACAGAGGCGGGAGAGGCTCCCACCATTGTTGCTGTGCTCACCAGCCACAAGCCTGGCTTCTGGCTGAACGGCACTCCCACTGTGGGAGCACACTGACTACTAGGGGGCAGCTCCTGCACTGAGAGTCTGCCCCCTGGTGGTCAGTGTGCATCCTAGTGACCAGTCATTCCACCATTCCACCATTCGGTCATTTGCATATTAGCCTTTTATTATATAGGATACAGTGTAGATGAGGCCCCCTAGAATCATAAGAAATGCAAAAAATTCACCATTATCTCATTCTTGAATTGCCCCCAGTTAAAACCAAATTGCCTCCCCACTCTCGCATGGGGCATGAGTTGCATCTTGGGAACCATTGTACTGGCCGTTTCGCAGCTGTACGTGCTGAGGGCAGGGCTCCAACCTCCTGGAGCGGGGGTGGGGGGGCAGGCCAGGGCAGGGCCAGGTGGGCTAGGAGGGCAGGTTCAGTCGTGGCCCGAGGTTCAGTGCATTTCCACTGCAGAGATGGCACTGCTGCTGCCAGGGGCAGGGGGATGGGCCTGACCCTGGGGTTTCGCTCAGGCCAGCCTCCACCTGGGTCTGGAGCTGTAGGGAGGAGATGCATGCCCGGCCCCAGTGGAGGGGGTGGACAGTGGTGGGCCGTGGGCCCCAGGTGCCGGGGGAGGGAGGGGGCTGACGGGTTGTTGCCAGCATGATATTGCTGTGGGCACCGCTGGTAGAGGTGGCAGGGAAAGAGATTGGGAGTCAGGGTACGGACTGCAGCTACCCCAAGGCTGGCTCTTCTCCTCGTCAGGTCAGCCTCCCTGTCCCCCGGGGGTGTGGGGTCTGGGATAGGGTGTTGTGCAGGGGGATTGGAAGAGCTCCCATGGCCGCTTTGTGGCTCCCTGCCGCCCCCTCCCGACTGAGCTCTCCCCGGCCACCGGCCTGTCATGAGGCTGCCGGGCACTCTGCCGTGGGCAGCAGATCCTGGGGCGTGAGGCGGGGGTGGTGAAGGTGTGGGGAGCAGCTCCAGTATAGTTTAGTAAACCCCATGTCTGCATCAAGATTTGGCTGCAGGGCGAGGGGAGTCTGCCAGAGCTTATGGCTGCGAGTGCAGCAGCAGTGGCAGGAGCCTCTCCCACTTCCTTGGACATCCCCTGAGAGCTTCCGGGCTGTCAGAGGGATGTCTGACTGCCAGCTTATGTCCAGTCCCCTGGGGAGTAGGCCTAAGCTGGCAGGTGGACATTCCCCAGGGGCTCCCGGACTGCAAGAGAGTCCAGGCCAGGCTGAGGGACCTCCAGGGTGCATGAATTCTTGTGTACTGGGCCTCTAGTCTTATATAATAAAAGCCTAATTTACAAAGTGTCCAATCATCCACTTTCAACCAATCAAAGTGTAATATGCTAATGATATGCTGAGGGTGCTCAACCACTTGATATGATGTGCACTGACCACCAGGGGGCAGATGCTTCAACCAATTAGGTTAGCTTACTGCTGGGGTCTAGCCCATTGGGACTAAGCAAGACAGGCCAGACACACTCTGGAGCCCTTTTGCGGTCCCTCCCCAGCTGGCTAACCTCCCGCTGTCCCTCCCAGCCCCGATCATGCATCGTTGGGGTCCCTCAGCTTGGCCTGCTCCCTCTTGCAATCTGGGACCCCTCGGGGGATGCCAGAAAGCCAGTTTCAGCCTATCCCACAGGCCAGGCCAAGGGACCCCCCTGGTGCACAAATTTGTGCACTAGGCCTCTTGTTCAGAAATAATAAAGAAATTCTGATATATGCTACATATCACATGGATGAACCTTGAAAACATTATGCAAAGTGAAAGAAGCTACATATTGCATAATTCTATATACATGTAATATTCAGAATAGGAAAATCTATAGAGACATAAAGGAGATTAGTGGTTGCCAGGATGTAGTAGGGGATGAATGGCCTTGATAAAAAAGATTCTAAAATTACATTGTGTAACTACAAAACTGGGTTACAGAACTCTGTGAATATACTACAAACCACTGAAATGTATACTTAAGTGGGAGAATGTTATGATATTGAATTATGTCTCAATAAAATTGCTTTCTAAAAAAGAAGACACTTAAGAACAAATGAAGTAAATGTCAACATTTTACAGAAGATTGAGGTAAAACAGGTTATTTTCCACTTAAACTGCATTCATACTCAGTGGCGATTACTTCTCATATCAAAATTTCCTGTGATGACATTAAGATGAAAATAAATAATGCTACTTTATAAGATGCTTTCTGAATATTAATAATCTCAAATAATTAATAATGAGACATAGAGAGATGAGAAGGGCATATTTCTTGAACAATCTACACAATATGTTTACCAAAATCTTAAGTTTATTCAACTCATGGATTAGAAGACTTAACATCACTAAAATGTCTACACTACTTAAGCAATCTTTAGATTCAGCTCAATCCCTATTAAAACACCAATGGCAGATCTAGAACAAATAATCCAAAAATTTATATGGAACCAAAAAACACATTGAATAGCCATAGCAATCGTAAGAACAAAGTTGAAGGGATTGCAAAATTTAACATCAGATTATACTGCAAAGTTTCTGTTATCAAAACACCTAGGCACAAGAACAGGTATATAGATCAATGGAACAAAATAGAGAAATCAGAAATCAACCCAAGACATTACAGTCAATTATTATTTGACAAAGGAGGCCAGAGCATATAATGAAGTAAAGACAGTCTCTTCAATCAATGGTATTGGGAAAATTGGACAGGTTCATGCAAAGAAATGAAAGACCACAAACTTACACCATACACAAGAATAAACACAAAATGGATAAGAGACTTAAAAGTAAGCTATGAAGCCATGAACCATAGGCAGTAAAACCTCAAACATCTCATGGATCAGTATTTTAATGGATACATCTCCAAGGGCAAGAAAAAAAATAAATGAATGGGAGTACATCAAACTAAAAAGCTTCTGCACAGCAAAGGAAACCTTCAACAAGATGAAAAGGAACCCATTGTGTGGGAGAAATATTCATTATTGACACATTGGCTAAGGGGTTAATTTCCAAAATATATAAAGATCATAGAACACAGCAACAGGAAGACAAACAATCCAATTAAAAAATGGGCAAAGGACAGGACGTATCGATGGCCAGAAGACATATGAAAAAGTGCTCAATGTCACTAATCATCAGAAAGGTGCAAATTAAAACTACAATGAGATATCAAAAAGCCGCAAGTGTTCCAGAGCTTTGGGAACACTGCACACATAGGCCTGCGCATGCGCGTTACATGCAAGTGCCCCCAGGGCTAGCCCCTGGTTACTAGGAGACCGGACGCTCCTGTGGAAACGCTAGGCGCTGGGGGGCATGCGCCTGCGCGGCGCGGATGGACCTAGAGGAGGCCTTCCCTAGGCACCTGCTAGGCCTGGCACGTGAACGTACGCGACGCCACGTGCGTGGCTGCGCGCGCAGGGCTCGTAGTCTCTGTGAGAGGGCGGGTCAAACCAGGTACGCGTGCGCACAGGGACTAGGGGCACGCGAGGCCACAGCGGAGCGAAGGCGCCAGGAAGATGGAGGACAAGCGCCCCTCAGGTACAGAGCGTGAGGGCGGAGTCGAAGGCGGCGCGGGGCGGTGCTAACCGCTCCGCCTCCTTCCCGCCAGGTTTCCTCTTCCACCACCTGCACCCCCGGCGGGGCGGGGCCGGGCCATTGCGGGTGGGAAGGGCGGGGAAAGGGGCGGAGGATGGGGATCGGGTGGGACTGGAGCCCCGGCGGGAGGCGGGGCCTGGCAGTCCAGGATGAGCTCCGAGGAGGCTGCGGGGCTGACAGGTCCAGGGAGGGACCCGGAGCTCCAGGTAGAAGCGGTGATGGCCGGGCCGGGGCCCAGCAGTGTCCGGGCCGGAAGGCTCTGAGGCGGCAGCTGCAGGAGGCAATGTTTGGGGTCGGGCGGGGTGACCCCGAGGCCGGCGTTCACCGCCCGAGGGGCGGCGGCGGGCGGAGCTGCGGCCCGGGAAGCCCGGGAGCCACCGTGGCTCCCGCTGCCCTGTCTCCGGAGCACAGGCTGAGCCAGTTCCTATGGTGACCGCTTCGCTGGCCGCCGCCCTGGCCTGGTTGTTGGGGGGACTGTTGGGTTTGGAGACGCTCTGGAGCTGAGCAATTGGAAGTCAGATCTGGGACTTCACCCTGGCTCATCCTGGTCCCAGCCTCCACTTCTAAGCTCTTTATAGACCGCGGAGGCCAAGGGCTGAGATGAGGTAGCTTTCCCCTGAAAATCTCATATAAGTTCGGTGCCCAGGAGAGGCAGGGTAAGCTGGCTTTTGTCTGAAAACTAGTGGAGGCAACCGAGTAACTGAGAGTCATGGACCTGATACCTAAATACGCTCAAGAATACTAAACAAACTATAAGCAACAACAAGAATAAATCTTAAAACAATTTCCAGTAAAGAAACAAAATGCAAAGGAATAGGAAATTTTCATTTATATAAAATGTCATAAACCAAACTAGAATGTGCATGTTGCTTATAGTTTGTTTAGTGTTCTAATGTAAGAATTTATCTACTCTTCTCTTTAAAAAAAAAATATTTTATTGATTTTTTACAGAGAAGAAGAGAGAGGGATCGAGAGTTAGAAACATCAATCAGCTGCCTCTTGCACACCCCCTACTGGGGATGTGCCCGAAACCAAGGCACATGTCCTTGACCGGAATCAAACCTGGGATCCTTCAGTCAGCAGGCCAACGCTCTATCCACTGAGCCAAACCAGTTTCGGCTATCTACTCTTCTCTTGAGTGAACACTCAAGATTTTACAGTTTTGGTGATGTGAAGAACACTATTGTGAAGTTGCTTATACATGTTCCCCATGATACCCTTTTCATTTATCCACGGTAATCTTTTGATTACTAGTTAGTAAGGCAATTCCATATCTTAGTTCTGCTATAAAATCACTTTATTTGTTATTAAATTCTTTTAGTTCAGAAAAGCCTTTTGAAAACAGCTATTTTAACCCCTTATGTTTCAAAGAGTTCTTGATAAGTGGTACCTCCCTTAAGGCCTTTTATTTATGAACTTTTAAAACACAAGTTATTTCTTTACAGTATAATTTGATTTGAAGAGAAGTGAGAACTTTGGATTTGAATGCAATGCCTAGGAGAGGTTATTTCATTTTCATAGCAAAAGTTAACTATTGTGCCTTTACTATTTTGTTTGAAGTGAATTCCCAAAACGTTTATTATAAACACAATTGTTTATAATATCTCAAAATTGTCATAAATTTTTGTGTGCTTTCTCTATATCTTTCTGTTAGTGAAGCTATTCCTACTTCAAAATGTCTGTATAAACATTTGGGGACAGTTTTTTTAAAAAACAAAACACCAAGTTGACCTTTAGCAAAATCAGAATCTCATATAAAATACTCCAGTATTTTTAATTCTATCAAAATATTCAGTAGAGCCGAAACCGGTTTGGCTCAATGGATAGAGCTTCGGCTTGGGGACTGAAGGGTCCCAGGTTCGATTCCGGTCAAGGGCATGTACCTTGGTTGAGGGCACATCCCTAGTAGGGGGTGTGCAAGAGGCAGCTGATGGATGACTCTCTCTCATCGATGTTTCTAACTATCTCTCTCCCTTCCTCTCTGTAAAAAATCAATAAAATATATTAAAAAAAAGAAAAAAAAATAATACAAAATATTCAGTAGAGATTTATTGAGCACATATTATATACCTGATATTTTGCTCAGCATTGATGATACTTTTTAGCACATGACCTTATCTCCTTTTTTACTGAAAAATTAAAATTCTACCAGGCAGGAACTTCTTAAAATTTCTACCTCTATCTTAATCTTTACCTGACCTTTTTTTTTGTTTGTTTGTTTTAGAGGAAAAAATTTCTACCCCTTATCTAACCTTTCACCTGAACCTCCTTTTCTTTTTCTTGTCTCAGAGGACAGTGCTGGTGGCTGTTTTTATATTGTTTCTTCTTTGCAGAGTGTCTAGGGAGGAGATGTGGCCACGGTTTCCAAGGCCAACTTCCAGGAGGCCTGTGGCATTATTGGGATTGTGCTGGGGGCACTGATCCATCGGTGCCTGGCCAGTTCTCTGGAAATTGGACCTGCAGGACTGAGGGACTGAGTGGCTGCCGCTGGGCTGGTGGGCTGCTGGGAAGGGTCAGTCAGCTGAGCAGCACTCTGCTGTGGGAGCACACTTACCACCAGGGGTAGCTTCTGCGTTGAGTATCTTTTCCCTAGTGGTAAGTGCACATCATAGTGACAGTCATTCACTCGCTTAGGCTTTTATATATATAGAAAATAGGCCTGAGACCCTGCATGTCTTAAAAGCTTCTCAGCAATCTTTATTTGGCTAGTACAGAGACTAGACCCATAAAAAGTTCCATGAAATGAGCAGTGAATTAATATTTACTCTTCATCTTATTTTAAAATAGGCCTCAGGCCCTAGCAGGTTTGGCTCAATGGAAAGAGTATTGGCCTGCTGACTGAAGGGTCCCAGGTTCAATTCCTGTAAAAAGCATAAGCCTTTCCAGGCTCTATCCACAGTAGAGGTCATGCAGGAAGCAGCTAATCAATGATTCTCTCTCATTATTGATATTTCTATCTCTTTCTCCCTCTCCCTTCCTCTCTAATATCTATCTATCTATCTATCTATCTATCCACACACACACACACACACACACACACACACACACACACACTTTAAATAGGCCTCAGCCCAAATTAATTCAGGGAAATCAAGTAAAGTCTAAACCTGCCTAATACTGAGTTCTTCATAATTCGATCCCTTCCTACATCTCCAAATTTATCTCCTCTAAGAGCTCCCCTGTTAAGGACAAACTATTCCAAATTACTTCACATATTCTTTATACATTCAGAATCATGTCATCTTTTATTCATAAGCTTTGCCCTTACCCCTTTCTCTATTTAATTAAAGATACTTCTAAGGTTCAGCTTGAATTCTATATTTTCTAGGAAGTTGTCTTTGTCTTCTCCATCAAATAGTAATCATTTCTTCAATGGTTCTTTGGTATCCCGACTACTGGCACAAAAGTCAGGGGGGTGGATCCCCGGCCTGTAAGGGCATCCCACCACCTGCCTAGAGGGCTGATTGTATCCCACACCCTTCCTCACCCCCTTGGGATGGGTGCCACATTCAGGGCTCGTGGCTGGTGAGTGCTGCTGCTGCTGAGGCATGAGTCTCTCGTGGTCAGGACTGACTGGGCACGAGCCTGCAGCAGGCGGTGCGGGACCAGGAGGAGCAGGAGTGGCAGGCAGGAGCACTGGCAGCGGTGGGTTGCCAGTCCCCACAGGCCATGTCAAAGGACCACACGCATGCATGAATTTGTGCACCGAGCCTCTAGTTGTGGGAAAAAATCTGCATTTTAACAAGATTCTCAAGTGACTCGTATATTCACTAAAAACTGAAAAATATGGCTATAGTGAGGAATCATTTGATTTTGTTATTCTAAGTGAAATATTTATAACATATTTTTCAACAGAAACTGTGTAAGGAATGGTAATTTGGATTTCAGCTAATGCCATAAAGGCCTAAATAATTCATAATTATAAATGCTATGTGGGAGCTAAAACTTAAGTTCCAAATGAGGCAGCAACTGCTGAAATGAAAACCAAAAAGCACACTTGTATTTTGCTTAGGAAAGGGAAAGAGGAAGGTTAATTTGTCACACTGCTAAGAGATTGGACAAGGTGTGACTCAAGGTCAGTGACTAGGGAATCCTGATCCTGTAAAACCTGGGGCAGAGGATAACAGCTGCATTGCTAGGAGAGACCTAGGACGCTTGTAGCAAATTCTCTCTTCCATAACATACAGGCAGCCTTGATTTAGAAAAAGAACTGATTATTTTCCTAAATTACGCAATCTCTAAGATACATTGTCAAGTAAAAACAAGCACAGTGCATAGTAATATGTATAATATGCTAAAGTGAAATATTTGGTTATTTTTCACATGAAAAAATGTACACACCAGAAAAAAATTCTAGAAATGGAATTATTGTTATGTTGCTAGATTTTATATAATTGTTTTTCATAAATTTTGTGTCAATTTACACTGCCACCAAGGACATATAACAATGCTACATTATATATCCAATTATTTTATCTTTGCCAAGGTGAGTTAAAAAATGGTATCCAATGTTGTTTTAATGTGTATCTCTCTAAATGGTGAGATTGAGTATCTTTAAATCTATTTAAAAGCCATGTATGTGAAATATCCATATTCTTTGTCACTTTTTCTATTCGGGTATTTCTTTTCCTTTCTTATTTATAGGAACTATTTATATATTAGAGAGAAGTCAGCCCTTTGTGATATGTGTAGCAGACTTTTTTGGGAAACACAGGCCTAGAGATAGACTACTTAATTTGCTGCTGACCCAATATTTTCTTAGTACAGTGATTACCAAGGGGATAGGTTGGGGTATGTCTGTTTTGAAAAGCGTGTTCATATTATAGCTTTATATTTGGAAAGCACACAGAAAAAGTTTTATAACATAAAGTGTTAAGAAGGTGAAGCTTGCTAAATACTCTTTGCTGGTGTGACAAGGTTAAAACCAATTGGAAATGTATCTA